ACATGATCAAGCACTAATATGTTCAGGTGTGGACACATAGTAAAAATGAAAACACACACCTATAATTCAGGATGTCTCCTATCAATGGCAATGATAATAATTAATATTTGATCAAGGGCAGTGAAAATATTACTTCTTTAAAAAAAAAAGTCTTGTGGCTCAACTTGCCCCAGTGTAGGGGTAAGTTGATCCAGGTCAGGGGGTAAATTGAACCACGGTTCAAACCTGGGCATACCTGTTCAAACCTGGGCATACCTACAACAAATCTTAAAGGTAACTATAAACAATAAATAACAAACCAAATACAAGCTTAGTTTTTCAAATATTTTTTATATAAATTTCGATTTAATTGATTGATTTTTTTTTAACATGTTAAAAGGAAAAGTAATCATACAAATGGTGATACAATTTCATACATCTTACCAATCAAATAGAGGGTAAATTCAACTTTAAATGTAGCCTACAATGAGCTCTTATTATCAACTTGGCCTACTTTCATTAATTTCTCCATTGAAAAACTGGCTCAATTTACCCCAAGGCCCATGGTTCACTTTACCCTATAGCCACCATTTTTAGAAAAAATAGCCTCGCATTAGAATTCAGAGTCATCTTTAGCTTAATGATTCACATGGTTATGTTTAATACGCTGCCAACACATCAACATATACAATATATGTGTTTAACCTGGATACTTTTTTTTTTACATGACAGCCGATATAGCTGACATCTAGAAAATGTACTTTGACAAGCGAAAAACGTTTTTTTGTAAAAATGTTTACTTACCAGACCACAATGAGTATCTCTCTTTCACAGGCAATGAGAAATGGGTGTAGCTTGCATAATTTCTGGTCACTTGATTACAACTATAAGGCGTTGCCTAGTTACGAGAGGTGGTTCAACTTACCCACTGGCTCAATTTACCCCGTTCTCCCCTATATCTCAGCCTGTGGAGACATCAGATGTCAGCAGGTTTATCGCAGTTACTTGGGACGATCTATTTTTTTGGCTGTTTGTGCGTGTGTTCATCTGAATGGGAGGAGCTCAAACAGGTTATGTTCGGGGCCTTAATTATATTGTATTGTATTGTCAGCGTAAATGCAACACTCCATCCACAGTTCCAGTTAAATAAATACATTTCTTAACACTATTTAACTTATGCACTCATACACATTTATTTTGTCCACCAGCAGTGTTTGAACACTTGGGGGCAGCATTGTAAAAGAATATAGAGGACTGGAGCAGCGTATCAGAAGAGGCCAACATGATGTGTGGCAGCATACTTTTAAATTAATCAACAATACATACACACATTTAATGCACATAATAAAGTCTTATGAATACATTTTTTCATGAGCTCCAATTTTTAGATTTGGTTTTACAATTTAACATCAATTTTATTTTATATAATCATATTTATAGCTTTTTACTCGATTTACATATATTTATCAAACTGTTGCACACAGTTTATTTATTTTGTTTTGCAAATTGTGCATATTGCTACAACGACAATCCCTCATAGAGCCTCAAAGTCTTGTTGAAATCTTAGTAAGACCTATAAAACAGGACTCATATGGTCATACATTATCTTACAACTTTTGCAGCTGTAGTGTGTCATGTCTTTTGGCATTTTGCAAGATTCATGACTCTGTGTTTCCTCTGCTAGCACTCACTGAGGTTTATGAAATGAAAAGGCTGTCAACCTACAGTATACTCTACATGGAGAGATTAAAGGAGTGACCTAGTTCTTGAGTGGACCAGGACTAAAAGCGAACCTCTGCCCTTGGCAAACCGCACTAGAGATTATCAATAATAATCCAAAATGGTAAAGCTGAATTGGGCATCTTGACAACAGGTGCTAACAGACAGAGTGATCGTGACACAAGCACTGTGGGCCACATATCATTCAAAGTTTCCATTTCTATTTTTGACCTGGCAAACAATTGTTTTCATTTTGGATGCGTTCTTGGACCATTTCATTGGCACTGCAAACTTTGAAAATGGAAACGAAATGGAGAAAACATCATTGATATAGTTTTTCTTCTCATATGATGTGAAAGTTTTTTTGGAATATTTGGGATACTTGTAATCCGAAATGTTCTTGATATGCGGCAATGATAAGCTGTTATTTGGTCGTCCACATGTTCAAACTAATTATACTTGCAGCATTCCCTTTTAACATTACTTTTTGTTGAATGGCCAAAAACGTGCTCTAAACCTCAACCTCATAAATGTATAACATACAACCAAATGCTGCTAAGAGAAGCATTTTCTCATAAATGAATTACATGTTATTTGTAGTGAAGTACATTTACAGTTTTAAGCCATAACTGAACATATTTTTTATTATTTGTAACTTATTAGGCTACTTGTTTTATTTGTAGTTTCTATAATGTAGCCTACTAGTCAATGTTTATGAGACTTTTTTCATTATATATATATATTTTTTAAACTAACAAGGGGTGACCCATTGAGATCATGGTCTACTGTTTTATTTTTTAAAGATCATGTACAATTTTATCTTGAACTATCCACTTATTCTCAAACAAAAGGCAAGGCCTCTTAATTTACAACACATTTCATATTGTGTATTTGTGGGGAATATGGCCCAGGGGATAAATAAGCAACTTCCAGTCAGCGGTCGGCAGTTCGATCGCCACCCGCTGCAGTCAACATGTCAAAATGTCCTTGGGCAAGTTACTTAAGCTCAAATTGCTCCTTTAGGCATGTCCACAGTATTCAAGTGTATTAAGTCACTTCGGATAAAGCATCAGCTAAATAACATGTAATGTAAAGAAGGGTGCTTTGCGATATTCACAGAGATTAACAACAAAAAAGCGATTAAAGAAAAACATTAAGATTGCATACAGTGTCACACAGTGTGTAATAAAAAAGCGTTTGCAGACTGACATTTTTAGCCTGGTTTCTAGGTATTTCTATAAGTGTGTACCATAGTGTTTACAGCATAGCTAAAACAGGTTTGGATTTAGTAACAGGAAAGAACAGCATACTGGTGCCGGCTGACCTGAGCAGAACTTTGTTAATGTGTTATAGTCCCAGAGAAAATTTAACTCAGCTATTACTTATCATTTTCCAACAAAGTGGCTGAATTATATGGTTTGTACTCGGTCCTCTGCTGCTCCTTGGTTCCTTGAATATGATGTTTTGATTTGGATGCCAAACCCTATGAGGGTAACTTTCATTTTATAGTACCACAACTGAAGAGGCTCATCCGGTCAAGAGAACAACATGATTTGAGATATCGGCATTTGTTTCAATGACTGTTCTTTACTGATATTTAAATTTCAGGATACACTGAGCCTATTTAGAAGCAGTTTAGCCTATTCTATTGGCCACAATAATCCAGATCAAATGATGCACAAGCTGAAGTGATGAGCATCTCCCTGAAATTTCCCTGTGGGCAGCCTCATGGCTCAGTCTCCAACAGAAACAAAGAGGTCAGCATTTGCCGCTGTGATTGAAGGCACGGGATTAGAAACTAAGAACAGGACTACAGATGAGCAGTGAGCTTTTATCCGTATGATTCTTTTGCAGTGATCCTTGCAAAGACACTTGCACATTTAAGCTTCAGTAGCAGGTGTTTAATGTAGAATATAAACACTGGCCCACATCTGAGGGTTTTAACATTTGAAACAAAGGCCACATTTACAATGGCAGATGTTAAAAAAGTTAATGTGTTAGCGAAATCACATAGATTGCACATTAATGCTACATATCCACCAGTCCATTGTACTCGTGGCAACAGTGTGTGCTGATTGTGCTTTACATTTTTGTCGGATGGAGTCTGTGTGGCCATAGACAGGCTCTGTGCATTACAAGATGAGGAGAGATTAGAGCATAGTGGGTTAATCTTTTGGCCTGCCATCTGCCAGTTCCATGAAAATTAAACCTGAATCCACAGCCTTGACCACCAACAAACAGAAGTAACCTGACAGGTGATCTTTTTGACTGAATGTGACAAGTGACTATCCTGAGAAAGTTATGCATATTCTGAATTCACTGCCTTAAAATAACAGAAACATTTTAAAACTTGGCTGTCTAGACACATTATGTCTCAAACCTGAAATGTCTCACTGTATGTCAGGTTCTGCTGTCAAAGGTCACTGATTTCAATCCAGAAAGTGACGTTTTTTATTCTGCATTATTTGTGCCTCTCTTTCCCACCTGGTGACTTTCTGACAATGTCCAGTTTTCTGAAAGCACAATGCAACAACAATGCAACAAGCTGTTACTGAGCTCATGCTTCATACTGTACATTTGAACAGGCAGCACTCAGATTATAAAGTAGGTTTAATTTCAGTATGAGAATGGACTGTAAAAGGTTTAATCATGTGTGTAAATCCTCTTGCACGCAACATCTTTGGTGTGCATACAGTAGGCATCATAGAGTTGACATTTACTTTTTTAATCAAAAGGACAAAATATAAAAGATGTTATGATTTTATATTACAGTATCTGTTAAAACATAAGAATGGCTACGTTAACTTTATGTCGCAATAAATCAACTAATCATTGTGTTTTTATTTCAAGAGAATGCGTCTCAAATAAAAGTAATATCTTGTAAAAAATAAGGTAAACATGTCCTCCTGCCTTGTTTGCCCCTTATATGACAAACAAGGCAGTTTATGTCATCAGTCCACACATTCCCATCATGATATCTACTATAACATCCATAATCAGATCACTTATTGCTTTCATCTACTGTCATCCTCTGTTTAGTAGCTATTCTTTTAATTTAGTATATCCTGGAGTTGTTTTCCTTAATGCAACAGATGGCTGTGGAGTGCATAACAGATGGAACTGTATTTATTGGTAAAACAGCGTGTATTGTGACAATAATGATCCTGTATACTTTAATCCCTCCACCTCCTTACATCACATTTATGTAAAATATGTTTGTAAATGTAAGTTATGTTTAATAAAAATGTCTCATTTATTTAAATTTAAATCTATTCATAAAGGCATGATACCTTTAATTAGTGGCTATTCAGTATAGACTGTGTATCTTGTAAAACCATTACATTCTCCAAATTAGAATACAAGCTAAATCTTACAGTGCTTAGATTGTAATGGTCCAAAACTTTTGATAAAGTTTAAGCAATATATCAAAATTAACATACAGGTTTCAATGTAAAATATACATTCAAAATCAAATTTGACATTCGTTTAGCCATAATAGCTGGACAGTTTAGCTTTCTTACCTTCAGACACACACATTTCTTACATTGTGTTATTCTTTACATTATTCCAACATATGAGGACATGATGGAAAAAGTGCATCTATGATTTGTTTTTAAATTATTTGTTGTAAATCAAAACTGTGTACTTGAAAAAAAATAAGAAAAGAAAAAATGTACCTCTCCGTGATCTGCAAAGCTGTGGCATAACTTTGTTTTGTCTGGCCTGCAGAAAAGGCCATCTCCTGTCTATTGAAAACCTCTGTTGGACTGAGAGGGCCCAGGAGTAACTCTTGAGATGTCTCATTGGATTAGCTTGTGCGTGCTGCCTTTCACCTTCTCCAGTCGCACAGGAGCACCTCGAGAGCTGCATCTCATGTACATGACTCTCGACGGAGCCGTCTTCATGGTGCGGTTAAATGACCTCATTCTTTAGGATGAAGAATGTAAAGATATTACATTTTCCACTGCTTTTTGTGTTTGTACATGCCTGCTTTGGTAAGTTACTCATTCTCTGTTTAAATGTGTCCTGTTGCTGTGATCTGATTATAAATGCTGACAGCCCCTGGGTTGATACATTTTACCTCAGTTTATATTGAAATCTATTCTGTTTTCAATTTGTTAATATTGCCTGACTTGGTTAGTTGATCTCATGTGTGGGTTTGAGTGTGTTTATACTATGTATGACTATCATGCTGATTGATTTGTTTCAATTGTAAATGTAATTTGAATATTTAGATGAGTTTCGATTTACACATTAAAGGAGCATTGTTTGCACCACCAGAGCTCAGAGGTCTATGTTTAGAAAGGTATGTTAAGAGGTTGACGTAACTCCATCGTAATCCCAGGCAAAGTGACTAATAAGGTGGGGCGACAGCACAGTACAGTAGAGTGAGCTTGGTTTACGTTTTGAAATTAAAACTACATTTGTGAAACCTGTAACGACAGACATGAGAAAATATCTAACTAAATTGCTTGAACAAACATTAGCCAGCAAATTGATTGATTGTACTACAACAATAATGAGTTTGTTTTACAAGTCCTAAATTCAACTGTCAATTTGTAAAATAAATATTACATTACATTACATTTAGCTGACGCTTTTACTCAAAGCGACTTACAATAAGTGCATTCGACCAGGAAGATACAAACAGAATCATATAAGTACATCAGGTTTCATAGAGCCAAAAAATTTCAAGTGCTACTCAACTGGTTTTAGATAAGCCAGTCCTTTATTAGTATATAAGTGCTCTGTTAGCAGTTCTTTGTTAGTAATTCAATCGCTCGAAGTGGAGTCGAAAGAGATTTTCAGTCTGCGCCGGAAGATGTGTAAGCTTTCTGCTGTCCTGATTTCAATGGGGAGTTCATTCCACCATTTTGGAGCCAGGATAGCAAACCCACGTGTTTTTGCTGATGGGAACTTGGGTCTCCCTCGCAGTGCGGGTGCAGCGAGCCGTTTGGCTGATGCAGAGCGGAGTGCATGTGCTGGGGTGTACAGTTTAACCATGTCCTGGATGTAGGAAGGGCCAGATCAATTCACAGTATGGTACGCTGGTACCATTGTCTTGAAGTGGATTCTAGCAGATTATGTTATTACTTCTTCTCTTGTCATTCTAGCTTTTTAAGGTGTTCTTATTTCATTTGTCCTCAGCACAAGCAGACTTCGCACCCTTTTTCTACGACAATGGACCCTACAACTACAATGGGAACATGGCGCTGTTCAGCCTCTCAGAGGACACGGCTGTCGGTGAGATCAATACAAAAAGCAGGACATTTAGCATGAACAGCTAATTCTGTACTGTTGGAACCATCAATCATTGAAAGGGCATGTTTTGGATGCCAATATCTGGGAGTCCATGTTAAATAGTCTTTGATAGATGAACAGGTGCTGTGTGGCATGAAGGCTCTCACACTTACATTCTCCTCTACTGCTGCTGTTGATGTGTGTGACAGTATTTTACACAGCAGTTTGGCCCAAACAATAGGCTAACTATAATCCTTGGTTGTCGATTAGAGTTAGATTTTCTAAATGATTTCTTATTCTTAAACTGAGAAACTAAAAGGAACTACAGAGATAATTTGTTTTGTCTTGAGGGTAGGCTTTGACTCTTCCAAACATGTCCGAACCAGTCAGCAGACAAAGCGGTTTGTTTTACATGTTGACGTCTTCCTTTAGGTACACAGATCTATTGCCTCAATGGCTCAGACCCTGAGGGCCAGGAGGTGAGGTATGGTCTTTCTTTTGATCCAGGGTCAAGAGAATACTTTAGGGTCAACTCCAAAACTGGAAACATCACATTGGCGGAAAAGCTGGACAGAGAGGTAAAGTTAACAAAGGCCTCAGGACTTGTGATGTAAATGTATGTATTTCTTCATATCATTTATTTTACCGTCCCTTCACAGAAACAAGATTCTATTGACGTCCTTGTCAGCATCACAGATGGACAAAGCAAGGTAAACATATCTAGTTGAATGTGTGATAATAATTTGTTTGGTGTATCGCTTGTGAAACCGACAAAAATAAACTTGAACATGTTTCATGTTTCAGGTTGTGGAAAGAGTCACAGTATTTGTAATGGATGCAAACGATGAAAAACCTGAATTCCAAAACCTACCGGCAATCATTGAAGTCCTGGAAGTAAGAAAAGTGTTTGCTTTATGAACCATAAAATGAAAATGACATTATATTTTTGAAACAATAGATGAATATATGTGTGAGTCTTAAATGTTGTGACCCACATTATTTTCTATTTTTCAGACAACTGAGTCTGGCAGCAGCATCTACAAAGTGGAGGCAGTGGACAAAGACACAGGCTCAGGGGGCTCAGTCAACTACTTCCTCCAGGTATTACTCGACCCCCACAGGCCCCACATTCTCTGACTACTGCAATAAACTAAAACAGAATAAAAATAACGAAATAAGCTCAGACACAACATTTTTTAAATGCTCCCCTAACATGAAACACGAGCTGAAACCGGCCAGTTCTAAAGTTAATCTTCTCGTCACGGAAATATGTATAGATGTACAGATAACGAGGTTAACATCAGTTCAGGGTTTTCTGATGCCTATGTGTGCATGTGCCTGACGATGGGGATTAAATCACAATCACATTTGTATCAGGTATTGAAGGCTTAGAGGGCTGCTTTGGCAGGGGGTGGCAGAGAATGTTAGTTTGCACTTTGGACTATTAGGACCGAAGAACATCTGGCCTGGAGTGACAGTGTCGAGGGGAGGCAGTGCACATCTGGACACAGCAGCTTTCACCTGCATCCAGATGGACAATGTTATAGACTTTGTATAGCTGTGTCCTAATTCAAGTGTTTTTTATGCATCCATCTGACTATTTTTCATGATATCTCACGTGAGTGGTTGTAAATGGGGTTTTAGCAAGAGGCTTTTACTCATTTGACATTTTTAAAACATTGCATGTGTGTGCTTTTAAAAATCCTGCTTTTGCCCTGTTCCCTGTCACAGAATGCTCAGTCCAGTTTGTTTGCCATGGACAGGAATAGTGGTGTCCTTCGTATTAAATCTGGAGAAACGTTGGACTATGAGAAAACAAAGACGCACTTTGTCACTGTCGTTGCAAAGGTAATGGGTGCATCAACACCCATAAAGTTGTTCTGTCGTCAAATAATTTATTTTTCATTTTAAAAACAAGTGGGCTATAATACCCTGTGGAGCTTTCAGCTGCTAATAGCACCAGTGATGTTATTGCACACATGGCAAGGACACATGGATTTAAACAATACAGCTTTCAACAATACTTTAAGAGTCAGCTTTTCAAATATTTTATTAAGAATTATGTTCTCAACACGTTTGGTAGGCCTCAAGAACATATAACAAAGTTTGGGGTGGATATGAGTTTAAAGAGTGCTATCATTAAACACAATATAAACATTAAAAAGCACAAACATAACTTTGTACTTTATTCAAATGTGTTACAAATGACACTGCTGTTTACACCTGACTGTAAACATTATTTCAGGAAGGAGTCAAGAAGTATTAAAACAACTTTCTTTTGTTTCAGGATGGTGGTGGTAATTTCAATGGCAAGGAGCAGTTCATGTCATCCTCTGCTACTCTGACGATCAACGTGGTTGATGCACAAGACACTCCGCCAGCCTTCATTGGGACACCGTATTTTGGCTACATTTATGAAATCTCAGTGCCAGTGAGTATGAAAACAACCTTCAATGATGGCCTACTTTTACGCTTTTTTATAAAAACTTGTAGTTTGTATTGCAACTGGCGCATGTTTTCTTAAATTAAATCATAGCAGCATTGCAACACATGGTAACCTCACGTAGGCAATGCAATTTATTTCTTCATTCACAGTATAGGTCATGCTGTTCACACCTTGTGTGTGGGCAAAAGAGCCCACACACAAGACAGCATCATCAGGTATCAAACAGCTTTAGTTGCTGACATTTTGCAGCAATGCCCATGCTGCTTTCTCAATAGCTTAGCTCAAATGAAAGCAGCTATCTCCTCAGCCACAGAATGTCACAGCAGTCATATGAAAGAGATTACACATTCTGATGTTCATCCGAAAGGGAATAATTAGGATCATGACATTTTAATGTCGGAAGACTCAGTGAAGATCAGGCTCAGAATTATTATGACATATGTTGTGAAACTCTGTGCACCAACAGGGTGACTCAGTACATTTCCTGCTTTGTTAGCTCTTTTCTTCTTCACCTCCTATATCATTAGATTTTGACAATGTGTTCTTGTCAATAGTCACATATTAGAGTTGTTTAATATAAGAAATAATAAAAATGTCTTAAAAAAGTAATTGTATATTGTTATATAAAAAAATAAAGGTCATTGCGGTATGCCATAAAAAGGTCTTAGTGTAGTAGACCATAAAACATGTCTAAGTAAAGAAAGAAGTCTCATTATAGTATGTCAACAATTGTATATAATAGTATTATTTGTAGAAGAAAAATAGTATACAGAAATACATAGTAAAGTATGTCATAAATAAGTCATAACGAGGTATTTTTCATGAACATTTCCATGGGCAGGACGCCATAGACAATGAAAAGTCAAAGAGCATTCTGTCAAACAAAAAGTAATAAAAGAAAGTAAAACTATGTCTTTGAAAAAGTAATAACAGCAGAATCTTCTGATTTTCCCCCAGGGATCTGAAATATTCACTGTCGTGGCAAAAGATGGCGATGTGGGAAGCCCAAATCCAATCCAGTATTCCTTTGACAGTGGTAAGCATTTCACTCAAAGAAGATTGGAAGGAGTTTGAAATATGGCAAAGGTGCTCATAGTCTGTTGTTTGTCCCTACAGGCGACGATGGGGTTTTTAGCATCAATAAAACAAGCGGTTGCATCACCCTGCTGACTGACCCCATGTATCTGAAGAGAGAGATCTTCAATATTAAAGTCAAGGTGAGTGGCAGCTCACAAAGTACCACTGATCTAGGTAGATTAAATATCCCCAAGTCTAAGAGATAGCTGTGTGTTATCTGCGTGACCTTTAACCCCTGTCTCCAGGCATCAGAAGTGAGTCCTGAAGGCAGGCTCTTGGACAGTGGGGCGACCATGCTGGTGATCCGTGTGGTGGACCTGAACAATAATCCGCCTACTTTCTACGGAGAGAACGGCACCCAGAACATGTTTCAGCTGACCATGTATGAGCATCCCCCCGAGGGAGAGATTCTCCGAGGGCTGAAAATCACTGTCAACGACTCCGATCAGGTGAGAAGACCAATAACATCTTGTCATACACTGACTGAAATGTGAAACAAAAATGTAAACGAAAAAAAGGCATATTTCATATATTTTTAGCCATGAAATAGTAGTACTGCCTTTGAAAGCTACCACATTTAATGGGGATGGAGTTATTATGTGACAGTGATGATGTACAGTAATAAGACTAATTTGTCCCAAATTACATTACATTACATGTTACTTGACTTACATACTCAATACTGTGGGCAATCCCCACAAGAGGATGAAGTGTCTTGCCCAGGGACACAACGACATGATGACTGCAGTAGGGTTTGAACCTGTGCTCCCCTGATCCGAATACCAACGCACTAGTCCACTGCGCCACACACCTCCCTCAAATGATATTGTTATCTAATAAAATAACTGATGTAATCAACATTCATCGTTTGGCCTTCTGTGTATGAAATTACCTTAAGCCTGCCATTAACACAGACAATCCTTTTAAAATTGCACACATTTGAAAGTAAGCCAACACAAATTAAAAGGTGCTCTCTAACTGTGCCATTTGTCAGATTATGCAAGTCTGTCTGTGTTTCCAGCTCCTTCTATGAGCCTCCTCCAAATGGCTGATGTTCACCAAATGCTCTTTTAATACTGTTACAACACAGGTCGAGTTCTCTTTGTCCAGCGATATTACGTTTCACCGACAATATTTCTGCTGCTATACTGATATCCTGATTTCTTATACATTACTATAATAACAGACGGATCAAAAGCTTTTATTTTGATTAAAGGGACTACACTACATGGATTATAATATAAATGTCTCTTTTGTGTGCAATAGATTTATAACAAACAAAGCAGATGACTATAAATAGTTCCATTCCATTTATGACATAACAGTTATTTTTACTGATGAAACTTTCTGACTATTGTGATGATTTGTGTTGTGCGAATGCAGGGTGCGAATGCTAAATTCAATCTTAAACTCATCGGACCAGGAAGGATGCTGCGAGTCGTCCCGCAGACTGTCCTCAATGAGGCCCAGGTCACAATCTTAGTAGAAGACTCTGCTGCCATGGACTTTGAGAAACACCACTTCATCACATACAAGGTTAACCCATTGCACAGGAGTAGTTTGAAATGGCATCACATCGCACACATGTTATATCACCTGCATCTGTTATTTTATCAGTCATTTTCTATGTGTTTATTTCCTAATCTTTCTCCTCTTTAGCTACTTGCAGTTGAGATCGATACACCCGAGAGGTTCAGTGCCACAGCAGACATTGTCATACATCTCTTGGACACGAATGACAACGCTCCCAAATTCTCCTCCGAGTACTACATCGCCAGAATACCAGAAAACTCACCCGGTGGCTCCAATGTAGTGTCAGTCACGGTGAGAGAGAGTTCATCCTGTCTAAAAATACATGCCAACACCAATGTACGTCACTCTGAGCTAAAGAGGAATTTTAACAAAAAGCCCAAGAGGCCCATTAATACCCTAAATGTAGACTTTTGGAGCGGTGAGGGTCGGGATAATATGTGAAAACATGTAGATAAAAGCTAGGCGAGGTAAGCTGCCAGATGGCTATCACTTTCATTTTGTTGTGTAACACCAAATTCCCAGATTTTATTTTCCGAAGCTTAGCAGCACATGCAGCTGCACCACAAAAAAATACGTACAGAACTGACATGAACTAACTGAACAACATGTTACAGGGAGATAGATAGAGAGAGAGAGAGAGAGAGAGAGAGAGAGAGAGAGAGAGAGAGAGAGATAGAGAGATAGATAGATAGATAGATAGATAGAATTTTCTTCACCCTCTTGTCAGTTCATATCACCCTGACCCTCAAAGCAGCAGGGGAGCTGCTGATAAATCCTGCCTTTGCGTGAACACCAGAGGCTCATTCCCTTGATCCCAGGCAATTTCAATCAGATAAAAGAACAGCCAACAAGTGACCTTGGACACATGGAGACAGCGAACAGGCCCCCCGGCTGCGACAGACAGACAGATTAGCCGATACCCATCATGATGTTCCTATGACATCAAAAAATAGTCTTTTTATAGATGACCTGCGCAACTTATCGTCCAATCCAGGGCAGATTCATTTGTTTTTATGAGCTCATGGCAGCAGATAGTTCCCCTTTTCTGCTTAAGTAGAGAGGGGAACTATCTGCTGCCAAACAAATCTAATATTAATATGTTGTGGTTTAGCTGTATGACGTAGTAGATGTAAGTGGGATATGTCTTAGCTCACTGAGCCACATATTGCTCTAAAATTCAGATTTCAGATTTACTGCTGACCTGACCTAATATCAGTCCAAACTCATAACATTTTCTTTCTCTAAAATCTGTCTTTTATGTTCATGCACAGGCTATAGACCCAGACTCAGGACCTTGGGGTGATGTGAAGTACTCCATCTATGGATCAGGGGCTGAATTGTGAGTATGCAAAAGTTACAGGAGGCGCCTCAACACCCCATTAAAATACCTTTAATAAAATCCAATGGTGAGATTTCCTGCAAGTTTTATTATCAAACCATGTTTTCACTGTGCTTCACTACCTTTTTCTGAGTCTATTAATCCGACATTTTGTAGTTATTTTGCCAGTCTCAACATACCAAAGGAAAATCACCAACCCTTAGACAATACTCTGAGCTGTTGATACACTTAGAAAACACTTGTTTCAGAAAATTATTTAATGAAATGACAGATGTTGCCTTTTAATTGCAAGCTACTGTAAAGACCACCTAAAGCCTGAAACCTGCACAGAAATACGACCACAGACTTGTTTTTCATATTCTGACTTTGTTCTGTTTATTGCACCTAAGCGCTGTAGTCCCTCAAAGGATTTGCTGGTATTTTCTTTCAGCTCGATTCTTATTAGATTTCCAGTTAGAATTCTAACCTCTGAGAAAAAGGCTCAGAGGTCACTGTTTACTCTTAATAACACGCAGTATACCCACAGCGTGCGTTTCCTTTCACATCAGATACAATCCTAAAGGTCACCTGCATGCCGTACAAAGTCAACACTAACACTCTTTTGTTTGTTTTTTTAATCATATTTCAATCTGCATTCCTTAGAGGACCAAGAGACTAGATTTAAAAACGGCGACACAGAGTAAACATGAACCTGTAAAGTGTGGCGGCAACATAAACACACGTGTTGTTAGGGATGTATTTAATCCCTAAGGGCTGTTCCCAATAAACCACCTTGTGTACGATGAAATGTAAATAATAGGAGAGCATTTTTTTTACATCTCAGCACAGATTTTAAGCTCTGTAGCGACAAATTAGAGGAGATGTATGATGCCACATGGCACTCAGGGAAAGGATTTCCAAAATAAGCAGAAGAGACCGATTTGGACCCTTTCTATCTTAGTGCGTGCGTTAAAACTGTGCCACTCATGATTAGTCCAAAACTCCTCCTTTGAAATCTTTTATGAAGCAATAAATGGCAACACTTCATGGTACTGCTAAAGCATGCAATTTGAAAATCTAATGTTTTTACAGTATCTTTTTGCACACTTCAGCATACTATGACAAATCCATGAAGTCCTGATCTTTGCCTGCTTGCCCTCTTTCTCTGTTAATCCTGTAATGGGATTGGAGGAGAAAATAGACTGTTCTTTACTTCTTACTACACTGTGACAGAGTCAATGCTGGGTAACCAAACAAGTCAGTCAGAAAAACAGTCTAATCCCAATCCTTCTCGATACGTTAACACTTCTATATTTAATGACTACATTTCATTGGCAGTGGTATCATCCTGATCTAGTGCATTCAAGTTTCAAATGCAGCTTTTTATGTGAAAGAAAATAAAAAACTGACGTTACCAAAGTGTTCAACAAAGACAATAAAAAAAACACAGGAATGATATCAAGAAAAAACGAGGAAGGATCAAATAAAAACACAGACATGAAAAGTGTGTGGTCTGGCATGTTGTGATGATGATGTAAGGCCAACCACAGCTTGATCCCCGTTGGGTTTTGAATGGGGGTGTGGAGTCGAGAGCAGTGATTGGTTAATTGATCCGAGGTGACAGGAGGAGGAGGGTTGAGCAGAGATGTAAACAGGTGACAGTCAATGCATGCTTTTTAAATGAAGTGATACCCATACCTCCACAAGGGTCTTGATCCAAATGTTTGCATTAACAAATGGAGTGCATGCTGTTACACTCTAAATCCTGTCATGTTTACAGGTTCTCGATCCAGCCTGCATCTGGGATCATCTACACCCAGCCGTGGGCGAGCCTGGACGCCGAGGTGAGGTCAAAGTACAACTTCTATGTGAAGGCAGAAGACGCTGAGGGGAAGTACAGCCTGGCTGAGATCTTTGTGACTGTGTTGGACCTGAATGACCACCCACCTGCATTCAACAATAACTTCCTCGAGAAGACCATGGTGATTGGAGCACCAGTAAAAATAGAGGTATTGGCTCTTTTTGAATTACTCAGATAAAGTGTAACCCAAGACATTCCATGGTTTTAATGCAATGTATCCACACAGGCTGTGGACCAAGATGCAGAAATACCCAACAATGTTATCGAGTATGCCATCATGAAAGCTGAGCCAGACAACAACATATTTGACATTGACGCTGACACGGGGGAGATCATGCTGAAGTCCTACATTAAGTCGATGGCCATCATTCAGAACATCACCAAGCAGACAGACTGCACCTGGTCTCTGGTGGTGCAGGCCCGGGACCGCGGCAAGCCGTCCTTCAGCACCACTGCGGTCATCAAGATCGACATCACTGAAGCTGTAAGTTACAACAAGGAATGGGTAGAAATATGTCAGTCTCACCGATATGAGGGGTCTATTTACAGTACAATACAATTTGATGAATTCTACAGATTTTTCTAAAGTAATGCTTTTTAAACGGGTGCAACGTTTTTGCAGAATAACCCATTTTCTCAAAGCCCAGTATATCAGGTTGTTTGCCAAATTATCAGATTTGTTGACAGAACAAATCTTAATCTCTAAATTCGATTGTCATGTTTTCAGGTGAAATCCAGATTTGTCTCATACTTCCTGGGCCTCAGGAAGCGTCCAGGGGCTGTGTTTGGGATTTGTTTCACCGCTGTCACCTTCGCCATTTCACTGACAATCTTCATTTCAACTCTTATATACTGGAACTCTGTGAAAAAGACCCGTGTACAGTCTAAAGGCAAGATCAGAAAGATTATAAGGAGGTCTGTCGTATAAATGAAACTGACCTTGAGATCATCAGCACAGCAGTACTCAACTCCGTGGTAACAAGTATATAGCAAATATTTTTCAAAGGATTTTGTCGAAGAACAGGGCTGTGTCTGTGAAAGAGTACAAGAGCACAATTTTCCAATTTTTCTTGTTTTTGTCCTGATTTAGTCCTCACATAGGACACAAAAACCAAGTTCTAGTTTTCCGATTTTTAATTCGATTCATGAACATGTATTCTCAGGTGCTGGATGGTCTCAGCTTCAGGTCGCCCAGTCAACCTCTCTGATCTTGTCTTGACAAAGCAGAACTTAAATCATCATTTTAAGTAAGATTAATTTGGCATTCACGAGAAAAAAGTAAAATAGTTTGGACACAAACTGTGTTATGGCAATACATTTGCAGTAACTGCGATCTGTATTTACACACATAATTATTTCGGCCAAACTTTACCACAAAACATAAATGGGACAATAATAATAAGTTATTTTGTTGTGTGACAAACTAGGACTTCAGTCCCATATATGAATTCTTCTTGTGCTCTTTTACAGACCCAACTCAGTGGGGGGCCTTTGGGATCTATTTTGCAAAGTAGAAACAATCCATTTCAAATCCTAGGCCTGCTTGCTAGTGCTATTAGTCTCATGGTCGTAGTCACAGTCATCATCTCCACTGCAACATTCATGCGCAACAAAAAGTCCAACCGGATTCAGCCTAACCGCCGCGTGAGGAGGAGGAAAGAAAACCCCTGGAACCTCAACAACCCCTTAAAGAAAGCAGAAAACCCCGCAAAGAAATTCAGAGTAGAAGAGGAGGAAGAGGAAGAGCCAGCGTCGGAGCCAGAGCCTGAGGTCATTGTTGAGAATGTCAACTACAACAACAACGTCACTAATGTTGTGAGACACTGGCCTTCGCCTCCTCGTGCCCCTCCTCGTGACCCTCCTCGTGCCCCCCCTCCTCCTCCCCCTTACATCCAAGGGGAGAGGCAGTGGTCGGTACCCACAGTCTCAGCTACAGTGGCAATCAAACCTAAAAAGAAGTCAGCGATGAAAAGACAGGACACTGTGAACTTAGCGCTGGTTTCAGAGCTCAAGATGAGACTGGAACAGAAGAAGATGCTGAAACAATAAAAGTGCTTCAGGTCCGCATAGTGTCTGTCCTGGAGCCTTCATGATCCTCATCCAAAAAGTATTTTTAATGCATTTTTTCACAGTGCTGTAAGGTCTCCTTATAGATGTGTGTGCGTGTGTGTGGGTGTGTGTGTGTGTGTGTGTGTGTGTGTGTGTGTGTGTGTGTGTGTGTGTGTGTGTGTGTGTGTGTGTGTGTGTGTGTGTGTGTGTGTGTGTGTGTGTGTGTGTGTGTGTGTGTGTGTGTGTGTTTTCAGGAAGAACAAATACAATGGAACAGCTTGTTTCCTTATGTACCAAAAATTTCATTTTTACTTGATGGAGAGAAAAAGTCCCTCCATGTGTTTCATAATTCAGATCATGTTTTTAATTCATGAGCAATCATTGTTCAAGTTTCTGTCATTTTGAAATAGATACATTCCACCTTTTGATCTATTTGTTGACACACTAGTGGCTTAAAGTTCCTCACCCCAGATCCCTTGTCGGGAATGAAGTCAACAAGCAAGACTGTTTATTTGGGATCCGACCAAGCTCCTTACAAGAGATTTAATGACACTTGAACTGACTGAAGCGCTCAGCCCGAGGGAAGGGAACCCAAGTGATCATGTTAGGAAGACCTTTAATCCGTCTGCGCAGGTGTAAAGCTCTGCTTCAAGCCCTGTCTTTGAGCTGTCACGACATGTTTGATTTAAAGGACTGTGTGTCTTTGTTTACTACTGTATATATATGTGGTGGTTTATCTGTTTCAAAAGGGTGTATTCTTTGTCAAAAGATGTTGTCAGGATTTTACTACAAATAAAAGAACTTCCTTTGTTTATTTGTTGTTATTATTTCAACAGGTGTGTAAGAAGTGTTAAGATATGTGTACTTAACTGAAGCAATACCATGAAAATACAATTTAACAAGCACTTTTACTTTGATAAAAGCACATTTAAATCTATCTATCGAACTAACCTTAGTGCAAATGAAGTGGCCAAATTCATTGTGAATGTATCACATTGTAAATATATGATATTTATATCATTAATGATGATATAGTTGGGGTTGAAGCTCATTAAATGCATTATATACTTCTAATAGTTTAACCAATAACAGTGCATGATCCTTCTTAAAATGATTCCATCCTTTGTACATAAAATATTAGGCGTTGAAGTAAATAGTAACAAAAGCAGTTCAAGTAATGTTTTGTATTTTAAAGGTAAATACATTACTGTGAAATGAAGTGGAGAAAATATTCAAGTAAAACATTTTTGAAATGTTCCGGTCTGGTCACAGCCAGTTACAACTGTCCAGTATCACAACATAGTGAATCCAGGATCCTGAAATCATGCTCTGAGAAACAAAAACAGAGACAGCTTTGTTGTCATTATCTTAAGAACAACACCTCCTTAATGAGCCGGCTAAGGCTCTCCTGCCTCCTTCTGGAGATAGAGGAGAAGCTGTTTGAACACTTGAAAGATGAAGAGCGTGTGAGCAAAGATTTAGGATCAAAGTTCCCAAATCCCTGAATAAAATGATTATGACTTAAACTAAACTTATACGGTCTTTAGGGAGATTTGAGCATTCATTTACAGTAGGACAACGGGAATGTTTATATTTTGGGAGTCCATGAACAAGGCCTTACACAACAATATTACTTTTGCTGTTGCTGTTAGTAAAACCTCACCAGGTGTTCTTAAAATATGCAATATAGTATCCTCATAGCCCTTCTGCTCTTCTTAGTTCCAATATCAATGTGAGCACTACCAATTATGAAGTAACACTGAACTACTCACTGGGTATTCGTGTAGACATCATGAGAAAACACGCACACTATTTCAAAGTTACATAAAGCATGACATTTGGAGATAACCCTCTCTAATCCAAGGAACAACTTGTTCATCTTTCTACAATATTGTAATGTGTTGACGAAGAACCAAGACTCAATCTGTCCTGATTCAGTTTGGACGGACAAGATGTTGAATTTTCTGCAGCCCTCTGCTGGCACATCTCACATGATCACGATGACGCAGAGAGAACTCTGAGGATTAATTTTTGGACAAAATAAAAACAGCCTCTTTACTCAGTTAGATCTAATACATACACGTGTGTGCTGTGCTGCTTTTTCAGGTTAGTACAGTCCCAAAGATTATTGAGCAAGAAAACTGAATTAGTTTACTTCAAAATGTTCACACACATAAAGACAAAAAAGTGATCAGTGTTGCCAGCTGTTAATGCTTTGAAATGAAATGATGGAATATGAAGAGCAGGCCAAATGATCATGCGTTATGCCATGTAAGAGGCAGCCAGGATTACTGGGCTATTTGATAGAGGATTACAGAGTTAAAAGTTGCAAAGAGCATTGATGCTTTAGAATGAAAGAAAGCTTTGCGTAGGCTTCAACAACCCTGGCATGTGTTTTGAGCATCAGAGATTTTAAAAGGTAAATGAACACACATCTTTGCGCACTGCTGCCCATGAGAGCTGCGTCTATCATGTAGTGTACTGTTTACATAATGCATTGCTTGCATTTACGTTAGAAAATAAGATAAATAAAGATCTAACCCATCCATTATTTTCTGAGATGAAATAGCTGAAATGACCAAATTCTCATTGTCTTGTGTCATACAAGATGCATAAGGATTACAAAAAAGCATCATCTATGCACCCTTATGGTAGAAACAGGTCTGAACGAGAGAGGATGCAGATGTGTCTCTGCCCAAGTCGTTTTAAAACCTTGAGTCAATAGAAACGGGCTCCGGCAGAGACAAGCCGCTTGCATCAGAGCAGACAACAAATGGAGATGGGGGATGAGGCTCATACGCCCATGAAGTGACGGCAGGAGGGGATATTGGAGAGGATGCCAGAGTTTGGGTATTAATGTCAAATGAACAATGCCATTGGCCGAGGCATATCCAACGTGCCATCTGTCCGGGATGGTCTGCAGAGATCATGTGCGGCTGCTGTGTGTGGTATTTGCAGATGTGGGAGACGAGGAACTGTGACGTAAATGTACTGGGACGCAGAGAGGATTAAAGATATGTTAATGAAACTTTACAGTTACAGTTTGTCTCGAACCACAACTTCATCTAATGATTTTCCTGATTGTGTGCAGAGCTGCTTGTTATTGTGACGCTTCTACTCCATTAGAGAATCAACTCAAGTGGTTATCTCTTAAAGTTACTACTTTAATATGATGTCAATTCGATGTGTTTCTCCTTGTGTAACTGCAGCTGAAGGTCAGTAACGAATGTTGTACTTGAAACAATGTGGGAAATTCTCCACGTGATTGGACTGACTCAAATTGAATTGAAATAAATTTCATTCAGATGCGGTTGTAATGTATGTTATCTCATTACTATGCACCTGACTATGAACCCATATGGACAATTTCCTTTAAAATAAGAAGCTTTGAAGTTTTCATATTGTTTATTTACCCATATTACATCAACAATAGATTTAAAATCGAATCGATTTTTTGTTCCAGATCCAGTATCATGTAACAGTACAAAAATGGCAACTTAATTGACAATGTTGGACAAAAGTGAAACACCAAAATAAAATAAGTTTGACATCACATATAAATGGATGACACAGCATTAAAGCACTAATACAGAATTGCATAAGATGCACTGACTACTCAACATTGTATTTGGGAGAAGCAAATATGAGCATTCTTCCATCAAATCAAATTACATCTTCATATAAAGCAGCAGTTTTAAACGTGTCACAGTAAATGACAATGAAACGTATCAGATACCAAGACAAACAATGTACATATTTCGGACAGGAAATAATTTGAAAACAGTGGGGAAAGTCTTTGAATTACACTCACGACATAACGGCCATCATTCACATCTTTGCAACCTCTTCTCGGCCTAAAACAGAGGAAGAGATAATATTAAAACCAAGGAAGAAAACACAGTCATTCTTTCAAATATTGTACTTGTGTCAGAATCTATACTTTTATATTTTACTTTACAAAAAGATCTGATGCACAGTAAGACATTGGTCTATTGCAAGGTCAGTTATTAGTTTTTGCCTTGTTGGTAGTAGTTTAATAAAGTTCAGCTGTGACTCTGCAGTGTTCAGCTTTGCCTTTATGCTGCCTGTCTTCTGACCTCCTCCTCACCTTCTTGTCTTCACTGGATTCTTTATTAACCAAGCCCTCGTCACTGGCGGCCTGCAGGCTGTCGAAGGTGCCCTGCCTCTCTCGCTCCAGCCCAGACGAGCCGCCTCCCCTCCGCCTCTTCCAGGACTCCATGATGTCCTCCAGCCGGGTACACTTACCATCAGTAGTGCAGGCAAACATACCGATAGGCACAGCCAGCACCATGGCCAAAACTATCACCACTATATGAATCAGCTTCTCCCTCTGTTCCATCTCAGTAACGTCACTTCCTGTTACAAACACGATGCACTGCCCGGGACGTGGTGCCTGGTTCTTAAGGGTCACACAGATGTCATATTTGGTAGCACGCATCAGATCAGAGACAGAGTACGAGTGGATCCCAGGGCCGATGTAGATCATCTCCTTCTTATCAGTACCTGTACGGCCAAAGTGGATGGTGAACCAGGTTTCAGTTGGGTGGTCTAAAGCGGCGTGCCACTCGATAGTGATTCCCCGTACTGTCTGTTTGGCGATACGGATGTCAATGTAGACATTTTCATCACCGGCCGCAAGTGGAGCTGAGTTCCCAGGGAGGAGTGATGACTGGGAGCCGTCTTGAGAGTGGACGTCCAGGAAGATGGTGACAGAGGAGTTTCCAATAAAGTTGATAGCATTGCAGGTGTAGACACCACGATCAGTTTTATGGAGGGATGGGACCACGAGGAAGGATCTGATGGTTTCTTCATCCACTCTTTCCTGAGACTCTGGAGTAAAACAATGAAAATAAATGTTAATTTGCAGGACATGAATGCTTGAATAATACAACTCATTTTGTATATGTTCTTAAGAGATTATCCACATGTTATAAAGTTGAACTGTGTGTCAGCAACACAATCAGTGACATAGCAGGGACTCTAGTGGCAGCAGCTGGCTGGTTGCTATGTGTTAGTAATGAACTAGATACTTGCAGTCATGATCTGCAGTAAGCACTCCACTCCAAAGGTCTAATGACGCAGATATTCATTTAATTGCACAGCTGACATTAGGTAGGCTACAGCATACTATAATCTCCCTACACTCTTAATCACAACTGATGGTGTTGGGCAGATTGAGAATCAGTGGTGATTATATTGCGTTGGGCCAATATCCAGATTTAGCTCTACTCATCTTAAAGAGGGGTTATGAGGTCTGCGATTAAAATGTGTTTAAGTAACTAATTCAGCAGAAGAAATCGCTCTGGATGTGTGGATAATATATCGTGCACATCGCACTCTTACCATGAAATCCTCTGATTATCTTCAGACCATATGTCCACCAAACAGCTGGCTCTGGCCTGGCCTTGGCGAGGCAGCGCAGGGTGAGGTTGGTCCCCTGGGGCATGCTGATGTTGGAGGACGGTGAGGTGACGATGGGCTTCGCGCACGCCTTCAGCTCCACCTCATGGAAGAACTTTCCCTCCCTAAAGCCCGGCCCTGAGCAGGTCAAGTAGGAGTTCATCAATATAATCGGGGGGCTCAAGGACTTTATGAACTCCACAAAGCCCTTCAGGCGGCAGTCGCACATCCACAAGTTGTCGTGCAGAGCGAGTACAATGTTCGGCCCTAAAGCACTCGCATCCCGCTCCTCCGTGCTCTGTAGTTTTTGATAGAGAGGCCAGTTTTGAAAGACCTCCTTCGATATGACTGTAAGACGATTGAAAGACAAGTCTAAGTAAGTCAGACCTGGCAAATATTTTAACGCGTGCTCCGGCAGGACGTCCAGCTGGTTGTGCTTCAGGTCCAGGATCTTCAGGCCCGGCGTGTCCTCGAACGCTGTCCATGGTACTGAGCGGAGCTTGTTGCCCTGGAGACGGAGCTCGGTCAAGTTCCCCAAACCCTCCAGACCCTTTGAGTTTATCACTGTGATGTCATTGAAGTTCAACCACAGGTTCTCTAATGCAGGTGTGTTTGAGAATGCCCCTCTTGGTATTTCAGTGAAGTGACATTTTTCTATGCGGATCTTGGTCATATCATCTGGAAGGTTCTCTGGTATGGCACCAAACGCACTCTCCTCCATACATATGAGTGACCTGTGATTAAGGGGGAGAGTTTAAAGGAACAGATGGTAACTGTGTCGCCTAATGCTAATTATAAACCTGAAATATACTAACACCACAAACGACAGCTACTAGCTTCAATAAAGCCCCTATAGCTTACTTTTATACGCACTCTTTGAATAACCATATGTCTAATATGGTTATGCCGTCACCGACTGACACAGTTGGGATAAAACTAGCTGAGCCTTGGTGAAGCTACAAGACTTACCTTCCATGACGGTCTTCTACACAGCTGCAGCCGCGTAAACATTGAGCATAAGTTTCATGCGCCTTGATGTTAAGCACAGCTATAACTAGGAGGTAACAAATTATGTCCATAGTCCGAGAAAAATCCTTAAATTGAGGGTTACATTCGTGCTCAAGACATGTCGAGTGTGGCTGCCGAGTGAAGCCTGCTAAGCTTAATCCCTGACAGACCGTGAAACAAACAAGTGGCATCTAATTCCTGGGTGAGCAGGTCTGACACACTATATAAAGCACTTTTTGGCAAGTCAACCTTTATAAAGTGTGTGTAAGTAACCAGAATGTTCAATAAATTCGTTTTTGGTTTGAATCCCCTTGTACAATATAACTGATTCCGTTGATTGTCTTATGAATAAAGAGCTAAAAGTAGAAATGTCGTTAAAAAGTTGATTATATCAGTGTATTATTTAAGTTTTTTTAAATATAAGGAAATGATTCATTAAGATTAACAAAGTTATTACAACATACAAATCCCTAATAAGGGACGAAAACTGATCAAAAATGTGGAAAAATCTGAAATGATTCCTGGATATGTGTTTGATCAACTTATTAAAGAATATAAATGATCACCCTTTTCACTTCATTGCAGGTAAAAACACTTGAACTGCATTGATTTATAAAATAATGAAATAATGTATAATAGAAATGTATTAATATGTTGAGGTGAGAGATATAAAAACACACAGTACCACTAACTGGATATGTATATATAAAAGTTTATTCAACTATAATCAAATAATATCATTGGAATAAATAGATCTACATTTAATGGGGCAACCTCTAGGTGGCACAACACAGGAGATATTTCAGTATGTGTCTCACTGAAAGGAATTAGACTGTCTTTAAACATTTAGCATAATTTCCACCCTATTTACATTGTGTCATAGTTCAGTCCTTTCTGTACTTCTCTCCAGCTCCAGCTTCTCTCCATACGCCAGAGTGTTGAACCATGCCTATGTGTATATCTTCTCTGAGAACATATGACAGATGTATACAGAGGCACAGGCATAACTGTATATGTAAGTGTACATCATCTAGTACATTATATACAAATAATACACATACATATATGGTATAAACAATAGATTTTCTACCGGTGCGTTCCCTTTATGTCAGATCAAGTTGCAGAGGTTTCTTAGCTGAGCCATGTAAGTGAGATAAAATATAGTTTACAATGATATTGTCTTTTAACTTTTGACATGTTTTCTCTTACAGGCGAATTAATAAATAAAACATGAGCGTGTTTGCATGTTGTTTTACCATTAATGTTTGGATACTTTTGGACAGAGTTTAACTTTTGTATGCGAAATAGGATTTTTTTGTAGAGTTTGTAAATTGATTAATCTGTTAATATTCCTCTAAACTGATATTTCCATTATAGTGCAACGTGCAAAAGTCCTTTGATAGAAGTTGGTTCTCTGTGGCGGTGGAGTTGGTGGCATGATCCAGCGAGGAGGGACGGATGGGGGGGTATCCCAAGGTGTGGGCGTACGGGAGCGCGTTGGAGGGGGACTGACGTCAGGATGTTGCTGAGGGCGAGAGCAGGAGCAGTGATGTGGATATGGATGTTGATGGAGATGGGGGTGGTGATGGTGATGTGGATGAGGATGGGAATGAGAATGAGCATGGTGATGCGGATCGGTTTGCGGATGAGGATAAGGATCGGTTTGGGTGTCAGGTTGGGGATGGGGATGGGAATGGGGATCGTTTTGGGTATGGGGATGTGAATGGGAGTTAGGGGTCGGACTGGCACGTGGAAGCGGGTGAGTGCGAGGAAGATGGCGTGGCGCAGGTGCTGGAGCTGGAGCATGACGTCAGCAGAAGTACTCGTTAGGTTGTCCCTCTATCTTAGCCGTGGCCTCAGAGTCCAGGCTGGATCGGGCCGACAGAAGCCTGTTGGATTCCTCTGGGTTCACTCTGTTCAAATACTCGCCCTCAAGCCCTTTGGCCTTCGTACCAGGCGACAGTGTTTCAAAGGTCACATATGAATCTTGGATGTCCTTGGTTTTCTTTCCCCAGTACTTTTGAATGCGTCTCTTCAGAGCCCCGCAGCACACGATGACAGTGAGCGGGACTGCGATGATACAGGCCACCGTGATCACAATCACATTAATCAGCTTCTGGGTCGAAGTTGCACTGGCTGCTTCATCAGTGGAAAATATCACACACTGCTCCTTCTTGGGGATCAGCCCCCTCACACAAACACAAGCAATGTACTTGGTTCTGGGCACCAGGCCTTCGATGAATACACGGTTTTGCCCTGCCCCAACATTGATCTTCCTCATGTCCCTCTCTCCAAACACAGCATACAGCACACTAAACGCTGTTGTGTTCTTGGCCTTAGGGGCTCTCCAGTTCAAAGAAATGGTATTGTCTGTGTCCCCCACCACCTTTACTGAGCGGACCACCCTGTCGGGGTCCTGCTGCAGTGATGACGTGTTGGCCGCCAGGTTGCTTAGATTAGTCTTCTCCAGATCCAACAGTGCATCTGGGTTGGAGGAGGTGGCAGGCCCCAGGGTGGCTCTGTCTGCCAGGCTGTAACTGCCTCGTCCCGGATCAGGACCAAGACCAGGTGGAAGGCCTGGATCCAGGGCGGGCAGGGTTGAAGGGGTCGAGGTTGGAACCACATATCTGGCCACCAGTTTCTCCTGGTAGGCAGCTTTACCAACAGGCTTGGGTTTCTTGACTTTGGCTTTCTTGTCATTGCTGGTTTGGTTCCCCTCTGTTTTTGACGAGTTAGAGACAACAAGAGAAATGACAGCTTCAGCATTTCCCGCATAGTTAGTGGCCTTGCAGATGTATTTCCCCGAATCCCGATAGGACACAGCAGGGACACTGAGGATGGACCAAGTGATTCCCTCTTTTGAGGTCTCCTGCTGGACTGCGATGACAGAGAGGGGAAAATAGTATTGTTACACAATGGTTACAAATGGATAACGTATGATAAAGCACTCAAATATGACGTTTCTTTTATATGAAAGAGCCCCTTTCATTGATGCGGAAAATGAAGCAATGGTCACAGGCAGTGTTGCATAACTCACTGTTTTTGCCACAGCTGTCAGTCAGACGTACAACATTACTATCTCCACTGGTTGCTTTCTGTGAGAGACCCTGACAGTCAAAGACCTGCTGACTCACCTGTTCCATTAAGTTGCCTCCCATCTGCCTTGCGCCATGTCAGGTCTGGGATGGGGACTCCAATGGTCCCACAACGCAGCAGCACATTGTTCCCAACAGCGCTCCGGACTCGTGCCACAGCTGTGTGTATACGTGGGAGCTGGCAGCGCCGAAGCTCTGCGTCACTGAACAAAACCCCGGATACACTCTCTGGAGCTGAACACCGGAGCCTTGTGTCAATGAACGCCACCGAGAGAGTGGGAGACTTCTGGAACTGGATCAGGTCGTAGAGCCGACAGTCACACACCCAGGGGTTGTCGTGGAGACCTGAGGGTGAGGGTAAAAGTGAGGCTACAAGGAAGACGAGCGTCCAGCTGTGAGCAAAGTGATAGAGCAGCCTGCAGATGGCCGGTGTGGATGTTTGCATGCTAATCCTATAAGACGATTAACATTTAATTCATAAACTACAACGGCAATGATGATGATGATGATGATGATGATGATGATGATGATGATGATGATGATGATGATGATGATGATGATGATCTTGTGATCAAGGACAGGTTAGCCGTCCTTTCAACCTTCGCTCCTTACTTTTCTGCACATGAGAATAGGTGAAACACAGAAAATGAGCGATGAACTTTGTATTTCACACACACACACACACACACACACACACACACACACACACACACACACACACACACACACACACACACACACACACACACACACACACACACACACACACTAGCAATTACAACTTCTCTTAACACATATTTAAAAGTATTACTAATTTGTTTTTATTATAATGCTATTTATTATTTTCATTTAAACAAGCTTCCATTTATGGTTGACCACAGGGTCATAATTATTTACAAAGACATTAATAATCTGCTTGCAATTGCAAAATAGAATAATGTGTATGTATACGACTTAAAAATAGTTTTTTTTAATAAAGAGTTACTTTGGTCTTTAATGCAGAATGTGTTACATGGTTTCCAAAGCACCTCTTCAAATATTAATGGGGAATTTTTTTTGATTAACTACTACCGACCATCCCCAGCCATACATCAAACGATGTGTTGCTTAGCAACTGCTTTTTTCAGCTTCCATTCAAGATTGATGAATTAATTAACACTCTTCCATTACGCACAGTGTTAAAAGCTATACCTTTCGTATTTTTAATTGAGACATGCATCCTGACTGAAGTCCTTACCAAGTATCATCTTGGAGCTATCTGGCCCTTGAACAGGTTTTGCTATGAGCCAGGTGGACAGCACCTCTGCCGACAGGGTCAGCAGGCTGTTGCTGGACAGATCCAGGTAGGTGAGGTTCTTGATGAAAGTGGTGGCCTCCGCTGGCAGCATGGTGAGCTGGTTGTTGTGCAAATCGAGAAGTCTGAGACTGGGCATGTCCATCAGAGAGTCCCAGGGAAAGGCGGTGAGGGCATTCCCGTCCAGACGAAGCTCCTCCAAGTTGAGCAGTCCCCGGAAACTGTCCGGGCTCAAGGCGGAGAGCGTGTTGAAAGACATCCACAGGAATTCCAGACTGGAGAGGTAGATGAAGGCTTCGCTCGGTATCCGCTGGATGGACGTCTTCTCAATGCGCAGTTTGGACGTGTCAACAGGAAACCCGACAGGCACAAGAGATATCTCGGGATCATTGCAGATCACACTCCTTAAAGAGACACAGACATTTGTTAATCTGTGTGCACTTCCAGATAACCCTTCAAAAAGTTTACATTTAATGACATGTGAACATTACAAAGTAAATGAAAATAAAAGTTTGGAGACTTTAATTGAAGTCTAACATTAAATAATGTTAAAAATATAGGGGATATAACAGTGTTAGGTTCACTAGCAAATACATGTGTGGCTAATCAATCTGGAAACAAATGTTTCCAAAGCCATCCGAACTTTCAATAAAACGCATAGATAGGAAGGTTGAAATTGCCTTTCAGAGATAATCCTGCATTAAATAAAATTGGACCGACATGCACTCCCTGAATTATCTTTGGAACACGTGTTCAGCTCTTTGCAAGCATCTGTCCTCATATGAGTATACCTGTGCATTTAAAAGATGCGTCTGTGGGCAAAAAACAGAACAATTGCTTTTGTGTGTTTTTGATTTAAAATCATTTGCATTTGGACATCCTTACCTGGCCTTTGATCCATCACTCAGGTTGTGGTAAAAACAGCTGCACTGCGACGGGCAGGAGCTCACTGGGGAGAAAAGCTCACCTGTGCCTAAGTAAAGCCCCAGGAGCAGGACGAGGAACATTTTGGCCCTCTTTTACGCATACGCAGTTTAACTACATGCGCCCAGTTTGCGCCCACTGAAGTTAAAACAGACTGGACTTTTTTTCTCTCATTTACAGGAATATCATCCGCATCGCTTTGTCCCACCGCTTCGCTGTCCCATAGTGATCCGACTGCTATGAGTCCCGAGATAAAAAGGATAGACAAGGATTAGCGAAAGGACTGGCGTTCTTTTCATTTGGATGCGTATTCCATCCCTGAATCCGATAGGCTGCGCAGAGACGTCCCTATTTATTATCACAGAAACAGAAACACTTCCGAAATGGTCATAATCCACTGTGATGTTTGGATTTTTTATTTCCCTCCAATGTAGTTTGTTCATTTGAGCCCTGCCGTGACTGTTAATCTGTAAATGGGCAGCGCTGTGTTTTACCACAAGGTGGCCCCTATAGAACACAGCATGTGGCTCCTACCTTGGAGCTTTTGCACTCAACAGCTGCTCACTCAACATTGTCTAAATATATCCATCCTTTTTTCTTATTCAGAGAACTTCCCATATTTTAATAACATGACAACTAACACCGCTTCCGTCAGAAGGCAGATATAGATACTTTGATTTATCTTAACAGTGATTTTACAGTAATATTTTCCATGCAAAGTAGGACCCTGCTACTGGTGCCTGAATTGATGAGATATTAGAAAAAGTTTCACCACACAGTGTCCCTCATCACAGAAGAACATATTGCACCTTCGACCCATTTTTGTACCCGCACATAAATGACTCCCAGATTAAAAGTAGTAAAATGAAGTCTACTTGATTTAAGTGTTTTATTAACTCTTTTTTTAAGAGGTGATAATTGTTTTGTATTAAGAATGAACTTAGTAACGTATGGTATTACATTCCTGGCATTAAAGATCAACCAAACCACAACTAAATGTACTTGACTGTATTGAGAAACCATTAAGATGCCCTTACATTTAGGTACAACTGTTTTCTTACTAATACAAATGTATAATACTACATAAAATAGTTTATTCCAGCTTTATTTTTTCATGTTTTACACTTATTTTCTTTGAAATATTCTTGTTTTACATTCGTGTTATTTGAGGTGTTCTTGAAAATCATTCCAATCCCATTAAAATATATTTGAAATGTATTATTCATACATTGGTACTTTCAAGGTTCAAGGTTCTTTATTGTCAAACTAACATAGCTACAGAGTAATTATGTCGTTGAAAATCTTAGGTCACAGGCTTCTCCAACAATGCAACACAGTAATATCATAATGATGGTATCTTATATATTATAAGTGTTATAAGTATTTTATTAGTTATAGTTAATTTTTTACCTGGGCATTCAGTAACAGGAAACAATGAAAGGATTTTTTTCTAAATGAACGTAATGTGTCAGAAGAAAGAAAAAGACAAAAATAGAAAGGAATATGTTAAATCCGATTGAAGGAAAGAAACTCACAGGCTTTTAAGATTTTCCCCTTTAGTAACGGATCTTATAGTCCTACGAGTACGAGAGAATAATACCTCCAACTGTAAAAGCTTTTATTTTGCAATGTTGCTAAATACGGCATAAGTTATTTGGCATAAGATCTGTGTTCCCCTGGTATTTCTTCACACTGGGAATCCAGTGTTACACTTTGTTAGCACTGTGTGCCAACTCCGTAAGAGATGACGAAACCCTGGCCTTTATTGTGTGCTAACAACTTGGCAGCAAGAACCCACTTTACATCCGAATGTTATTTACAGACCCAGGTCAAAGGCTTTACTACAACAAAGGTTGATAGAGATGAATAAATCCTATCGATTGGTAATGATATATCAAAATAAATAGTAAGAGTAACTGCCTTGATATTTGGCCTACATTTCAGATTGATCACACTCTTTAACCTCTTATACGTTATATCCCTTTGAGTCAAGGGTCATTCCTTATGAAGGGTTTTACAATGGTGCATGTCTGTACTGAGGCTGAAGTTGTTGAGCAATCATGCTCGAAACATTCCATATTGCACTGCAAGTAGTTAATCTCATTTGCTGAAGCCAATGAATAAAGCCACCCTTTACGTCGTATGAACCAGAAGATTGGACTTAGTTTGAGCTGCAATGTCCTTCTTAGTGTGCAAACAATCTAAAAAGAACTCATAAGAAGCATTTGAATTAATGGGATTTTGGTACATTGTTGTATCATTTAATATCATTCCTTAATAAATAAAGTAAGAGTTGTCAAAATAGAAATTTTGAATTTGCTCAAGTGGTGCACGACCACTTTCAGCAGAAAAGGACATGAAAAAACTGTCCAAATACTATTCAAATACTATTGCATTTACTTTTTTTGTTTCAGCAATTCTTTCACATTTTATTATATTTTAATTTAATATTACATTTTATGACGTGTGACTTTTAGTGTGACTATTTAAAATAGCAAATTTCAACTAAAGATAGCAAAATGCATTCATGTGACCTCAAAACTCATGTTGGGGTCAAGTAAGGGCATATGGATTGTGGGAGCTATTGGTTTTACAACGGGATATAAAGTGCCCAAAAATGTATATATATATATATATATATATATATATATGTAAAATAGATCTTGACCATAATGCATTTCCATATGATTAAGGACTTTTCACACATTTTCTTATATATTTCCAAGATTTTTGATCCTGGGACTGAAACATTTTGAGCAACACAATGTCATGATTGTGTCCCCTACATCCTTATGGCCTGAAAAGCTTACAATGGTGTTGCAATGAAGTATGACAAATCCATTGAAGCCTGAGGATGATGGCTGGATGTCATGTCATTCACATAAATCTGAATGGGAACGAAGCCTTTTATTTTACGTCACATGTTTTTATCTTATCGCCCAGGAAACTCTTTCTGTTGACACATGTTGTGTCTTGAGTTAAAAAAGGACAATTACTTTGGTCATCTATTTTTTAAGGCTGATGCCATGTTGGTTTAATCTCTTGAGGTCAGTCTGTCTATCAAAAGTTGTATTCCCTACAAAAAACTAAAAGATGTCCACAAAACCACGGCCTACGTGTCCAATTTTATATCCACTAGTCCATGTGAGAGTCCTGCCATATGGGACAAAGGATTAATAAAGATACAGATCAACAGTACTTACATGGGTCCTCTGTGTGGTCTCTTTGTGTCATCAATCAGGGAATGGAGAATTACTAACCTATAATGAATTAAACTACATCACATACATTATATTAAATAAAAACTGAATGTGCTTGAAATTATAAGGCAAAATGAATTAAACACAATCTCTAGCAAGAACATGGAAGTCTGAAAATAATAGGGTTATTTGTGTTATTTCTTAGTGGAGAGAACCGTTTGTGGTTGGAGGGTTTTGTTATCTTCCTTATTGTGGGTGCAGCTTTGATTGGCAGGGGCTGGGGCTCTGCAGGCACCTGTTGTGTCTCCTTAAAACGACGCAGATCTGTGGTCTGCCTCAAACGCGTCGTCAGTCCTTTGACATCAGCAGCGGCTGCATCCTCACCGGGACGCTAGGACACAAAGGCTTGTTGTGTAACTAATTGAGGGCTTTACTATTGCGGTGGGCAAATACGCATTAAGGGTTGCGGTGTGTGTGGTTATGTTCATTATGACATTCCAGCACGGATTGGGGCGGAAGCGAGTGGGGGGCTTTACATATTAAAGTGCATGCTTTCCACGTGAAATGCCCCTTTAAAAGCAGCCTCCTTCAGCCAAACAGAAGCACATCGTAAACCACCGGGTTGGAAAAAGTGAAAAGTCTGTGACAGCTGCACTCATTTCAATTCGGCTTCAGGATGGTCTCGTCTCGCCCTTTACCGGAGGGCTTCTCCGACTTTGATGTGTTCTCTCTGGGAACCATGCTGCTGGTGGAGGGTGAGTACTTTTGTTTTGTGTCGGAATTGAGCCAACATACTGTGAGCCTGCTCCCGCTGTGATGCATTAACATATGAAAGGACCTGACGCCACCCGGGCACTGATAGTATAGTGTTGTGGTAGGCAGGGTCTGTTTTTCACTAAACTCGCAAATGAATTCACGTATAGTCCGTAAACAAAGACCTGAATGCGATGTTTACAAGCAGCATGTTTATGAAATGTCACGGTGCTGCATGTTGCGCAGAAAGCACTTCTGTGTCTGCGCACATTGATTTCCATCCATCGCCACACACTGCCTTCATTCATGATTGTTTATTTATGTTTTCCCAAAGGCATGCTGGGCTTCCTTCTAAATGCGGTGACAATCGTTGCTTTCCTGAAAGTGAGAGAGCTCAGGACCCCCAGCAATTTCCTTGTGTTCAGTTTAGCGATGGCTGATATTGGCATCTCTATGAACGCCAGCATCGCCGCTTTCTCCAGCTTCCTGAGGTGAGTGATGTAACCGCCCCTTTCATAACAGATGCCAAGGTCTGAGTCAATGTGGCCAAATGAAATGTAATGTGCATATAATACCTTGCTAGCTACCCACAATATGATTAATGTACACGTATCTGTAAAATCGATACAGGGAGGAACAATCAGGGGTGTAATGTGGAGGGGGGGGGTGGTCGATACAGGCTAAATCCTGTGTCATAATGTGCCCTGCAGCTGAAGGGGATTTTCAAACTGGAAGAGTGAGATTAAATGCTGCTCTCGGTGTCTATGGGTCTAAGGATAATAACAACTATTATTGTATATTATTTGTGTAAAGGCAATTAATACATTAACTGCTTTCATAAATCATTGTTTCTATGAATGTCTGTGTGTTCATATTGTATCTACATTTGGCAAATAATTGTTTTGACTAATGAATTCATCACTTTCCTCTGTCTCCAGGTACTGGCCTTATGGCTCTGAGGGATGCCAGACTCACGGTTTCCATGGCTTCCTTACAGCTCTCGCCAGCATCCACTTCATGGCCGCCATCGCCTGGGACAGATACCACCAGTACTGCACCAGTAGGTCAACATCTGCTATGTCCCCTGCCCTGAAATACACAATTACAGCCAATGGCATTCTTCTTTCCCTCCCCCCCTGAAGCACAGGCTCTCACACAAGAACACACACAGTCACACGCACACACTCACATGCACACAACATCCAAGTACACTGAGCGGGTTATTGTTCTTGGTCTCCAGCTGATCTTAAGACCTCCTTCTATTCTGAAGAGGCCAGCTGCCAGTTGTC